TGTTGTGCGGGCTCCAAGGTTGCTGGAAAAACCACATTTTCAGCGCCTTCCAAAAGGCTAACAGGGATGGGGCTAAATCCAGAGTCTACAATAAACCCCATGGACTATGGAAACCCAATGCCCATTTTCTTCCACTAAAATTCCTTTGGGATCATGCTGAATTCAGAAAATCTCCAGAACATCTGGGTGCGCGGCGTTGATGTGATGTAGAAGTGAATCCATATCACAAAAGCAGTTTGCAACAATGGGAGGTGTAAGAGACCTTTTCAGGGTATAATTAGTATGAGATATCAAGGTTGTGTCCCATCTTTGTCAGCCTATCTGAGACCTTGTGAGAAAGAGGCCAGATAACTTTAAATGGCAGCAACGAGATACAGAAAATCCTATTCTAATTTTGAAAGCTTGTTTATTTATTTATTTGGGTTATGTACTATACAGTATTTCTTTCAGGAACTCAAAGTAGTGTACACTGTATAATTTCTTCCCATTTTTCCCCATAAAAACCCTATGGATTGGTTGGACTGAGGGAGTGGGTTCCCTCAGATTCTGGGTTGAGGGTGGATTCAAACCCAGGTCTCCCTGCTCCAGGTCCAACACCTTCACCATTACACTGCAGTGGCTGTCTTGCAGTTACGAGTGCTCAGGAAAATGGCTGCTGCAGTGGGTCACAAAACACCGGCTCATCAGAAAGCCAAAAGATGAAGCAGCTCTTCGCCACCACTTCTAGTCCTGCAGGAGATCTACCGAGCCTACATATCCTTGCCTTTTTATGAACAGGTTGGACATACTTGCAAACACAGCATCAGGCTATATCAACTCCTCCTCCTCCTCCTCCTTCTTCTTCTTCCTCTTTTTAACATCCCTTAAATGGACCCAACACAACTGGCTGAGATGCTGTACTGCAAATATCACATGGGACTTGGGAGACTCAAGGATTCTGCTGGGTCTTTCCAGGCCTCAGACTTAGTCTTGACAAAAAGCAACTTGTCTTCAGTGTGTGGCCATATTTGCTAGACCCTCCCTGCTTATCAGCTTAACTCTACTTACCCGCTGCCGGCCCTGTGTGCTTTCCTGTGGCCCGACCAGCCAGCCAGGATGGATTTTTTAGCTGCAACTGTGCTTCCAGGACCCAGCCCTCACCATCGTTACCCAAAGGGCCTCAATACCTTAAGAGAAAGACATTCTTACCCCACGTCACACAGAAGGCAGGCCCTTCCATTTTGTCTTCATGGTGAGATCATGGGATTTTAGTCATGGGAAGGAGTTTGGAGGACCTTTGAAGTCCAAATGTCTGTTCTTCGTAGGAAACTTGCAACTACAGCATCTCCAAGGGAAGGTCCCAGTGCCTCACTCTGAGCAGCTGTTCTGAAATTCCTCCTAAAATCTAACCCAAGCCTGTTCTTTACAATTTCCATTTACTGTTTGCTCCATCAGGTGCTTCACGGCCCTCTGGGACTTGAGGACAGGTATCGTGTCTCCTCGGTCTTTGTTTTTTCAGGGTGAGCACGAATAGCTCTTTCAGATGGGGCTGACAGAACTTGGTTTCTAGCCCCGTTACCAATTATCAGGACAACATTCATGTTACCACAGGGCAGATAAAATTCTCCCTCTGCATAAGATCCTAACACACAGGATCTTGACATATTCAATGTCAGCAGTAGGTACAAAACAGTTCTGGGAAAGCCTGCTTCCTTTTTAAAATCCTCTGGTTTGGCCTAATTATTAACAGGAGTTCCTCATGTTGGTGATATATTGTATATTGAATGCATTACAATTGATCTTTATATGGCTGTATTTATTGAAGTGATGGTGGGGACTCAGTTTTACTTGTTTAATTCTCTGCCATACAGGGCAGCAGTGCTGTAGCTGAAAATCAAAATGTAGGATTACCCTGTTCAAATAATGCTCAGAATCTGTGGTAATGTGGTTATGGCCTTTTACAATTTCATTATGAGATTGGGGTGAAATATGTTTGCTTGTTCTTTGGTTGAAATGAAGAATGTTGGGAAAGGTGGAATGAAAGAGAAGAAGAGGATGGCCATTGGCAAGATGGGTACACCACTGGAAGACGGGAAGGTCCAGGTGGAGGATGGATCATCCTGGCAAAAATCTATCTGTGTGCTCCCTAAGAGTTGACACCAACTTCATGGCACATAATCAGCCAATCAACTAATCAGCTAATCAGTCAACATCCCAAAACACATTGGAGCCAGATTAGCTTGAGTTTACTAATTAGGTTTATTGCATTCAGATTTTTCTAGCCTGCATCCGGTTGACCAAACCTATGGCTACATTTCGATTATAGTAATCCAGTTCCTACATGCAATTCAGTTGTACTACATATAATTATGCGTACTTTATAATAACATCATACTGAAATTCCAATCCTGTGCATTCTTACTAGGGATTAAAACCCATTAAACAAATAGGACTTACATTTTAATAAAAATGTTTAGGATGCAGCTGCAAATTACATAATAATTGATTTTAATAAAAGAGATGCTCACCTGTCTGTTCCACTGAGGTTAAAATGATATTGCCTTATTGTATGGATGTTCAGTCATTGCTCAGTCATGAGGTGAATCGTTTGGGGGGTGCCCTTCCCTCAATTTTATTGGCACCCATAATTCCCAATTAGCACAGCCAGCTGGGAATAACGTGATCCAACTCATCTATAAGTCACCCCTGCAGTTTTACTTTATACTTTGGTGGACCAGACCTCTTTGCTCTTGCTTTGGCTGATGTTCCATCTTGCCTGTTGATCTGCACATTCTCCAACTTTTAGGTATGACCTTACAGTGGGAATGTCCGTCCAGATGTGGATGAACGACAACACCCAGCAAATTTGCTGATGGATTGGATCTGTATCCAACCCATCAGCGAACTGGATGGAGAAGGATATTGGAATTGTCATCCAGCTGTACCTGGAGAGCCACAGGTTCTCTTTTTGTGTCTTTCAGGTATGGACTAGAAAAACCAAAGTACTGCACCTACAGAAGAATTAATTCTCCCCTTTTGTTCTTAGAGACATAGAGACTTTATTCCAAAAATTAAAATCTCAGTTCCACAAGAGACATCTTGCCTCGGATGCAATTCTGGCTGAAAATATTTCTGGAGGTAGGTAGGTCAGATCCATCCAATCCCCTAGATAGAGTAGAGAGGAAAAGAGACAACCTTAGACTAGCTAACACTACAAAAGGGTTAAATGAACACATCTACCCGCAGACCCTCTTTTGCATTTCTGCCAAAGACCCTCTTTAAGCCGCCGCCCTGGGGTCTCAGCCCTCCCACCCGCCTGCGTGCCTCTCTCCCTCCCTCCCTCCCTCCCTCCCTCCACAGAGGACCCACCGTCGCTCTCAGAAGAATCAGCACTGAGAGTTCCCCTGAGGCACTCCAGGAATGAGACCTTCTGTTTCCAAAGATCTCCACACTGCACAGGTTGAAGGAAAAACCCAAGAGCCCTTTCTCCTCTCAAGTAATCCTTCTGCTTTGAAACATATCAGAAAGATCAGGTTTGTCTTGCTGAATATGTTTCTCAGTTACGTTTTTTCATCTGCCAGCAAAGATCTCAAAAAGTCCAGCTCAGGGGCTGTCGTTCTGAATTTTCGCACAGTTACCTGATAACATCTGGCTAAAGGTAAGAGAAATAAAATAGTGTGTTGTCTTTCCCATTAACCCTCCATCATTTATTCTAAGTTGTTAGAGTAATTGTATTTAACCAAGCTGATATTCTATTTAGGATAAATCTTGTTATATTTCAAATGTTTAGTGGATCTGCCTTTCTCAAACTTTTCAATCTGTGCCTGTCAGATGGCAGCGGGCATACAAAATCCGGGCTGAATGACTGTATAGAGAGGTTTGGGCATTTCTGTCATAAGAGAGCACAAACCAGGAAACTGGGGGAAAAAAGCCATTTCAATATATATTCAGAATACTAATAAAATGTTTGGAATATGCTGCAAAACAAGTTTGTTAGAACATTTTTTTTATACTTTACGACTCATGTATTTACCTGCTTAAAATGAATCTTTGTCATTTAAAACTTGAAGGCAAAAGAATATCTGCGTATTAAAGCGTAGACTTGAACGTTACTTACTGTTTAATTAAAAAATAAAAGCTATTATGGAACATCACTGATTAAACATACTGATAATTATTTTAGTCTCAAAAAAGTATTTTTTTTTTAGATACAATTTCAAAAGTGACTTCCTTGTTCTTGTATTTTTGCAGTTTCATGTTGTCCCTTGAATTGTTTACAAATCAGATTTTATTTAAAAAATTCTTTTCTATTTAACATGCAGATTAGCTGAAGAGGCCACCCCTCAAACCCAACACTATCCAAGAGCGCCCCCTGCCTGCAGACACCACAACTACTACTGTATCTTCTGCTTTCAAACCTTGGTCCTTCTCATCTGCGCTCCTCTGTGCTTTTCCTCCTCTCTTCACATTTAAAATAATATTCCTTCCAAATGACTTGCACGCCCAAGTCTCCTTAAAGGGTAGATAATAAATGACCAGCACAAGAGAGGAATCTCTCTGTCAGGGGAGGGAACGCACATGGTTGCAGAAGCTGACAATGTTGAGACTTTTTTCTCTCTCTTAGAGGATCCACTGAAGAAGCAAGAGGCAAAAAGGGAGGAAAAGATCAGGGCCTCGTTGCTAGTATCCAAATGGCTTGTCATAGACGATACAGATATGATGCTCACAGATTTCACTTCTCCACCTCTTCTTTAGTCTTTCACCAGGGCGTTTGCAGTTAGAAGCCATGGGGCATTCCTCCTGGTGGTCCAGGGAAGTCACAGCTTCTACTCTAGGTGAATTCCCAAGTTCTAGGAAATTTATACAGAGGAAGGGCCGGATCCTGAAGGGCAACTAACCCAAGTATAATGTTTAACCAATCTATCTGTCATCTGCAATGCCTAAGCTGCTTATTAGCCATCCATAACATTTAAGAAAGCCCATTCGGCGTCTTATTATCTCCCAGGTCTGCAGCACTGAAGATGCCGAGGCCACGGGCATGTCTGCCCTCCTGGTTTCTTCTGGTCATCTGCTTCAGCCATTCTTTAGTCACGACTGTTGCTTTACAGCAAAACTTCAAGAGTGAGATGTTCAATTTCTATCGCACATTGATGCTTGCAGAGGGCAAGGAAACAACACTCTTTCTCTCAAAAGAGGCGCCTAAAAGGTAAGGGGTGCCAGGCCCACCTTTCCTTTCCATGTTGGGTAAACACTACAAACACTTTGTTCTACAAAACGATTCTTGTTTATGGATCTGAGATTAAAAGTCATCTGTCCACGGGTTCGTTTTATGCCACCCTTGGGTTCCCAAACTCTGTTGAGAGTGAGAACTGCAGCAATGAAGTGTGTGTTTTGCTGTGGACCCTGGGGAAGGTCTTCCAAAGCCAGCTTCCCAGGGAGTTGCTGCCCTTCTCACATTTCTAGGAAGATCCTTTGACTATCTTGAGATTGATCAAACATGTGCGTAAACACGCCATTTCCCAAAGTGAATGTTCATGAGAATTGTCTTAGCTGAATAATTCCATCAAACTCTCCCTGCATCTTTCTTCAGTTTGTTCAGTCTTTTTTTTTTTCCTTCTGTGATATAAAATGAACCACAACGTTCATTCATTTCCAGGTGCTATTTTGTTCTAAAAGAAAGCAAAATCTCTGCACTCTTCACAGTGAGAGTAACTCCGTGCGATGTTCCCATTGAGTGGAGTATACGGGTCCCTAAGATATCAGCAAACTATTTTGGAAAAACGATTTCTGGTAAGCAAGAGGGAAGGTGAATCTCTCTTTCTCTCAGCTTTTCCTTTTTCCACTCCACTTCTCTTTCTGTCAGTTAGCAACACCTAGATATTATATGAAGGGATGATTGACCTTGATTCATTTGGAACCAGATTTGTACAAACTATATTAACCAACAAGGTTTCCCTCTATAATTAAAACTTCGAAGTCTCAGCACCAGCATAATCCCCGCTGGGCTTGGAAGCTAAGCAGGATCAGGCCTGGTTAATACTTGGAGGGGAGACTCTAGGCGGTAGACTGGACTAGAAAGTTGAAAAAGTATTGCAGAAGGCAGCAGTAGCAAACCACTATTGCATGGACTTCCAAAGCTCACTTAAACATGACTGTTCATTCTTAAAACTATTCCCACCTTTCTGTTAAGCTATCTATCTGTCTGTCTGTCTGTCTGTCTATCTATCTATCTATCTATCTATCTATCTATCTATCTACAGGTTCAAAGAGAGAATGGTCAAGAAACAGGCGTGATCAGGAGCCAAAAGTTGTTTCCAGGTTCCCAAAATTATAAGTTTTAAGGACTTGAGGTCATAGATATTCATTTCTTACTGTCAGGGATGACACCAGAGTAACCAAGCATTCAAGGGTAACTTAGTCTGTACCCAGTGAATATTCTAATGACATGAACTCGTTGTCATAGTTGAAAGGCACTGAAATAATGTTTCCAATTTGGTATTCCAAAACCTCCATCAGGTGTGATTTATACTATATAATTTGACCAATCCTAGGAGTTCATTTAACAGTGATGTATAAATGGCTAAAAAAATATTTTTTTTTCACCATATGTGAAACCAAAGAATGGGAAATGAAATTGGATTGTACGAAGTATAGTCACTTTTAGTGCTACTGTCCAGCAGTCATAATGAAAGGTATCTCTGCGACTTTAAGTTCTGTTATAACCTTACCCAGAAGAGGGTCGCCTTTTCTTTAATAGGTGCCAATTCTGGTGAGGAGAGCTGGCATTTTGTGTCAGCCCCACCAGGTAAATCATACCAGGAAATCAACTCCACCCGAAGGCTAAAACTACTTTTATTGAGCAGGGCTGTAATAACAGAATCTTGCAAGTCTGATTGCGGTGAACCTCCACCCCTTTTCTTACTCCAGTGAATCAGGGAGGGGTCTGCCTGGGCCAATTCCAGATGTTATCTCATTGTTCTTCTGTACTTAAAAACGTTTCAGCCCCTTTTGCCTAGGTCATGGTTCTTGCATATTTCCATCAAGGTCATCTTCCTGACTATCTACATTTTCAGAATGTCTCGTGGGTGCTTTCAGAAAATGTTGGCCGTAGTAGCCACGGCCAGTCACAAAACTGCCATTCACCCAAAGAGTGAGTTGGCTCCCAGGATGGCGTCTGCCGCTGCAAGTGACTGTTCTTGGGGGCGGCGGGGGAGCAGCTAAGCACGATTCTCGAAGAAAGCAGAGAGCTGTAACCACACATCATTTGAATTGTCTTGCCATAAAATATTTTTAGACCCCCAACAACAGGAATTTCCAAAGAAATGCATGAAAGGGAAAGTGCTGAGTCCCTTCCCACAAGAGCAAATCTTTTTTTTTTTTTTTTTTTGCCAAATATACCACATAAATTGCTATAGATCCCAACCGGGAGACAGCGGGCTACTATGCTTATGTACACCAGATGTAGGAAAGAGGAGTTGTGTGGCCAAGGCAGGCAGAAGGATAGACCTGAGTGCACCAAGGCATCTATATTGCATTCTCCGGTCAACGTATGCCTTTCCCATCTCCCATCGACTTTCAAAACTTTGCATGTCTTATATTTCATTGACAGATAATTTGAACACTCAGGAAGCCCTCAGATTCCAGAAGGCAGCAAAGATGGTGTGGACTCTCTTTAGCTATAGAGGCAATTCTGTGGAGACCTATACTGGAGCATCTTACCACTCCACCATCTACATGCTTGAATTCCTGTCCATCGAGAAAGACACCCACATTACAGTGTATTTAACCACTGACCCCAAATCCGATCACTTTTATCCTGAACTGCCAATGGATCCGCGCATTGACGTCATTGGCATTGGCCCCACTGCAGTAACTCTTGCTTGGAAGCAGAGTCCAAGTGCCCTGCCATCCCAAGGAAACATTCAGTATTGTCTCCTGGTGAACGAAAACTACAACTACAAGAGCTTATGCGCAGCAGAAACAGCTACACGAGCTTCAGGGGTGAAATTGCCTCCCACTTTGGTACTATCTCCCTCCACAGATAGCCTGACCCCTCTGCAACTGAAAGCATTGTCCAAGAGTGAATTAAGCATGAGTAACAACGGTGGCGGTGCAGAGATGAAGCAAGTATGTGTGGGACTCAGGAGCACCTACACAGTGTCCCACCTGACTCCTGGTGTTCAGTACTATTTTGATGTTTTTGTAGTCAATTTCCTCACAAACACCAGTGCTGCTTATACCGGAACCTTCGCCCGTACTCTTGAAAATCCTGAGCCCAAAGTGAGCAAACTGAAGGACGGGAAGGTGATTCAGTTAAGACTAGACAGAAGGAAACAACCCTTCTACAATTTGCTGTACCAGGCAAAGCAGAAGCGGGTCCAATTTGCTTTTCAGTCCTGCAACGGGCAGCTCCAAGTGGAAATATCCAAGGATGGGAAAGTGCTGATGTCAGAGAGCTTTGCCGGCTTGAGGCATTTCATACTAAAAGGAAGGTTGGGGGACACCTACCTGGTGCATCTCTGGTCCACTGAATCTTCAGCTGCATCCGTGAAGGTTCAAGTGTCCTCTCTCTTCCATAAGCCTTTCTTCCCAGCTCTCCCAGAGAGTTTAAAAATCAAGTCCTTCAACAAGCTGAGGAGCTGCAATTCAGTCACCCTCGCCTGGCTTGGAACCCAGGAACTGAGCAAGTATTGCATCTACAAGAAAGTGATTGGGGAGGACCAGGCCTGGATGGAGACCAGGAAGGTCGATAGGTGCTCTGGGCCGGAGTCGAGGCAGAAAAGTGAAAAAGTGCTCTGCAAATTCTTCCACGACCTCAATCTGCGGCGAGCTGTGTCCACCGAAACCATCGGGGGCCTGGAAGCAGGGATGGTCTATTTGTTTGATGTGTATCTCATTGGGTCCTCCGGGATTCCAGTCCGCTATTACAGCAGAGTTGTGAAGACAAGGAAGAGATGTTGAGCATCTTCAGACACATATTTCTGAGGAAAGGTGAAGCCGGAGAAACATCACACAAAAGTAGCATGTGTGGTTGTAACATTCAGAATGAGCTGGGACACGAAACTGTGTTTAGGTTGTAAGATCAGAGAAGAAGAAATCTTAGCTTGGAAAAATAGATTCACCCCCATAACCTCTCTCCTTTGTAACTGACCCAGAGTTACAACACCCTATAACAAAACACCTGCCACTGGAATTCAATTGTTCTTTTTCAAACCCATGCCTGCCAGATCAAAAACCTAAAGGATGCACATTTTGTAAGACACCTGGTCAAAGGGCATCCTAGTTTTGATTTTTCCTGCAGTTTGTCTGCTCCAATTAACATTTGTCAGAAATTCTTATCTGGAGTTAGATGCTCAGTGTAATGAACTGTTAGCAAAACTCCCTTTTTCTTGCACTGTTTATAAGCAAATGCTAATTTGACACTTACAAAAAGCTGGAAGAACCATAAGAAGAGAAATCTTGGCATAATTAAGCAGCTGTATTACGACTCGGTATTTCTGCTCTATCATGTAGAGAACACCTGGAGGAGGAGGGTGGCGCTTCCCTTCCCTCTGGCCCCTTTGGAGTAGCACCGTGCAACCCTTGAAGGACGGATATTGGGAGTTGAGTAGATAACAAGAGAAAGGGGCAGGGTGACTGCATACGTGGGTATGTTTTAAAAGGTTTCCCATGCCGTAACAATATTTCCTAGCTGGAGAAACTGCTACCTACTTGGTTAAGTAGTCATTCAGTCTTCCATAACCACCTCCAGATTGGGGAAGGTTACAATAACTGATATGCTGGTCCATATTACTTGGTTGCTCTGAAAATGATGTTCTTAAAATGTTTTCATGGGATTTGCATTGGCTGGGTTCCCACAATACACTTAACCCAGTCACTTAAAGGTCTCACAGCTGTGTTTGCATGACTTGCAAAGGTTGGTTGGTTTTAACTGTAGGGGGTCCCAGGCCTGGCTTATCTCTGAAGCTCAGTATTTGGCCATGACCTGTCATTGGCAGGGTGAGGGGGGGGGGGGGGGGGGGAGAGGATTTTATCAACCAACAAGAGTATACCTATCAGGGAGTAACACCGTGGATGGTTCCATGCAAACAATGGGCAATCCTTACTTGTGACTTACCTGGTACAGACTCAAACATTGTGTTTTATAAACCATAGTTCATGGACTAAGGTATCATGTGAATGCAACCAATTTAGGTTTATTTAGCAGCCATCATTAAACCAACTTTGGCCAATCACTACTATCCCCAGTGCTTCCCTCTTACTGCTTCCTTGCTTAAAACCTATTCGTACCTCCATCTTCCACGCAGCCATTGTAGCAAAATATAACAATGGTCACGGGTGTTGGGAAAAGCAGCTAGGTGCAGAACTGCTGACATTTACAAGGGTGAGGGGGCTTTAAAATGCCACAGAGGACTGGTGGCATTGCGCTGGAAATCTTGGGAAGGGTGTCTTGGCATTGCTTTTCACGTTTTACAACTATGCTTTCTTCATGGAAAATATGGATGGAGGGAAGTTTCTGGGTTCAAATCCATATAATGATACAAAGAATTTCAGAGAACAAGGTCTCCACTGAAACCAGAACTTTTCTTTCTGGGATTAATGGACAGCCAATTAGAAAACAGCCATGGAAGATTATTTTTATATACAATTATTGCTACGAGACTATTATATGCGCAAAAATGGAAAAACCCTGCTGGGAATAGATACTCCTGGCATAAAATCCTTGCATTTTTCACTCAGGAATGGTTGGCGCAGATGACGGAATTAGCAGAGATGGCAAAATTAACCTGTTTGATTAGAGAAAGATCAGTAACTATATTTATTAGTGACTGGAAACCACTTATGGATTTTTTTCTGAGAAAAAGAGAAAAACAAACTTGTGATTTATGGGTTTGAAGATTAGAAAGGGTAGACTATGGAAAGAAGGAAATTATGGTGTAACTTTAGAGAGAGGGCAAAAGATAAATGTATTTATAACCGCTGTCGAGAAGGTCGGAAGCTGCTTCTTTATAATTTTTCTGTTCTATTTCTATTTTCTTTTTTCACTATTTGCTGTTTTTCTTCATTATATTTATTTTCTTTTATGTTTTTTACTTTGTTAAAAATGTCTTCAATAAAAATTATACAAAGGCAAAAGAAAGAAGATATGGATGGAGAGATTGCTGGTGACCTCTATCAGGCAGCCCTCCAAAGTTTGTTCCCCCACAAGTTTTGCTATGCTGTCTCATTGTGGTGGTCATGGAGCACTCCTGAGAGGGATGAGTGAAAAATGCAAGGATTTTATGCCAGGAGTATATATTCCCAGCAGGGTCACCCCACGTGTGAAGATCAACCCAGCTGCCCAGCTGAAGCAAGCAGACACTTGTGTGGGGCATCAGCGATACAGGAAGATGCCAGATTAGTGACACAGGAGATGCATCACTTTATACTGTGCGAGAGACGGGCATGGTAAACCCCACCAGTATTTTACCAAGAAAACCACGTGGACAGATAAGGCAGGATCAGATTAGGCCACAGACATTCTGCGCACAAGGTTGCTTCATGCCTGGATCATTTTTCTTCCACTGGGAGTGCATGTCTACCCAAGTTTCTTTCCTTTTGTAAGCCTTATGGGCACGGGGTTGGGTTGGGTTGAATGTTTCCAAACAAAGTGGATTACACGTCCCCATACACCCCATGCACGGTAGTCTCAGTCCCACACTGAATCGGTACGTATGCTTGCTTTAAAGACAATCCAGAGAAAAATCCGCATGTCCTACAGTATACGTATTTCTGGTTTCTCGTTTAGTCCTAGTACAAAATGTACGAAATCCAGACTGTAGGGCTGTTGGATACTCCTATCGTGACGGTGATTCTCAGCAGTGGTGGCACTTACACAGCCAGTTGAACTGCTGTGTTAGGCTGGGCTAAAGGGCTGGAATATCAAATAAGGGGTTATAACAGGACAGGGACTTGAGGTGAGGTTGTAGGAAGAGAGATGTTAGTCCGTGGTAGCAAAAAGGTAGGGGGAGCCTGGTAGCACCTTTTCTGACCAACACGTTTTATTAAAAAGCATATGCTTGGGTGAGCTGCAACTCAGGGCATCTTTATCTTTTACTCCTACTAGATTATAATGTCCGCCGAAGTGATGGGGATTCTTCTGCTGTGCGCTTTGGGTCTTAACAAGTACGAGTTTCATTTCTTCACAATGGGCTTCTCCCAAAGTTTGATTAGTTTCTAGCCAGTTTTGAATTACTGGCAAATCACATGGGCTCCTAGTCCAGCTGAAAATAGAAATACCCGACTTTAAATAAATATTGTCTATACAAAGAACATGGCATCTCTGATTGTTAAAATAGTGGTGAATAGGCCTAAGTAAAACACTTACCCACTTCCCAGGCAATCCTACCTCTGTTTTCCCAGAAAAAAAGCCCCATTGAGTTCAACAGGGTTCGTTTCTAGTTGGATACAGGTTGTCATTTCATTCTATGATTCAAAGCATGGTACACTCTGATCACAGAAACTTGTGGATTTCTCATGCAGCCTTATTCTTCTGTTGTGTGCGTACAGCATGGAAGTAACACCAGAAGTAGCACCCAATTTGAAGAGAAAGAGTTTTCATTTTTAAACCTCAGCACAGCTTCAGCTTTTTGGAGATCCTTCATTTCCATCATTTTCAGTTCCATGCGCTTGAGGTCTGTGGGAGACGATGTCTAATGGGACTCTGCAAGAGGATATAGCAGAAGAAATATGATCACTAGAGGGCGGTACAATATTAGCCAAAGGAAGAAAGACATTGTTGGATTAGTCTAGTAGGGTTAAGAAACCCAAACTAAGGCTGTTAAGAGTACAGAGCTACATGAATGGATCAGTTCCCGTATGCATGTTCTTTACTTGATGGCCCCTAAAACATTTCTCTGTGTACCAGTAGAAGAGAATCTCTGTAGCTCAGGGTTGAACTGTGGAGTCCTTGATGTTCTCTGAGCTTGGTTGTTTTCTTGCAGATGCTTCATTACTCAACTAGGTAACACCTTCTAGCACTGAAGATGTTACCTAGTCAGGTAATGAAACATCTGCAAGAAAACTACCAAGCTCGGAGAACATCAAGGACTCCACATTTCTCTGCGTGCATGAGCTATTGAAGTCCTAATGCTAATAGCAGACTTGCTCTCCTAGAACCCAAGGGCAGCTGACTTAGGCCTTTGTTCTGGAGCATGTACAGAAGGAGGAGGAGACCCCCTGAGGATGGAGTGAAACCAGAGCTGCACTCTTGCAGTTACGAGTCTGATACCAGGATCTTCTTCCTCTCAGCCTCCAAAGGTGTTCTTCCTGCTGTTGGAAAACGTCAACATCTGGGGGTTTAGGGGTGGAAGCCGTAATATTGTGGTGGTTCCCCTCCTTCCTCTGGGGCCAGTTCCAATCTCTGTTGGCGGGGGAGAGCGATCCAGTCCTGAACCCTAACGGGTCGAGTTCCACAGGACTCTACCCTCTCCTGGCTCCTGTTTAACATCTACATGAGGCTGCTGGGTGAGGTCATCTGATGGTTTTAAATTCTTCTCCATGCACTCAGTGTTCTTTTGCATTAATTCCATTGTCGGGCAACCATATAAAATATAATAAATAAATATTAATAAAAATAAAATGTAATACGTGCTTTGCAATGAGAAAAGAATTGAAATCTAGTAAGCAAGAGAGGTCAGCACCCAAACCAGCATTTGGATCAGATTTCCCAAGTGAATTTGATTTATTAAGGCCATTGTTAATCATGCTTTTGGGATCCCAAAAGGAGCTGGGAGTATCCATATTCCAACAATGTATCATGCTCTGCTTCATGGCACTGACTCCAAAGCTGATCTTCTATCTGCTTGGATAATGCTTTCAACACCTTGAGAAGACCAGCACTCAGCTGGCTTGCATGTGTGAAACTCCCACCTGAGCAAAGTATTCATGAAATGGGTGATGACAGAAGAGCTCAGCTGAAACATACTGAACATTCCTTTTCCAATGCAATGGAGAAACAACTTCTTTCTTAAAAGCATCATTGCAACATCCTTTAGCTCCTCTGTACTCCCCTTGCCATCCAAATCAGATCACAAAGGGGTAGTTCCCCAAAATATGCGTATCAACACTGAAGGGCAGCTATAAAGGATCCTGTGAAAGTCCAAGGCCAAGTCTTAGAGGAAGGAAAGACGCTCCATCAAAGGAGGTTCAGAATCCTGATCCCTTCCTTGGTTCTCTGCTTTTCTTCTGTTGGCCAGGATTCCATATCTGTTGAGTCTAGACCTTGTTTTACAGTTTGATCGGAAGGGAGGGAGGGAGGGAGGAAGGAAGGAAGGAAGGAAGGAAGGAAGGAAGGAAGGAAG